TCAACAATAAGTAATGAAATAAAATAAAATAATAAAATAAAATAAAATAAAATAAAATAAGGCATCCTTGCCCTTCGCTGTCTCCCTGGAAACCAGCAATTCACCACAGTAAAGGAGGTAAACACTGGGAAACTCTTCTTTCCCGGGAACGTATTTCCAGTTTAATAAGGGGAGAGAAATAAGTGGGCAGCTTAGAAAACACCTTCACATAAAGGAAAGGGGAGCATCTCAGGCAATGGGGAGCATTTCAGCAGGGGGAGGAGGGAAGCAACTGAGGGCTGAGCTCAGCAGCTAGGGAGACACCTGCGCCTAAGTCCCGCTGGCGCGTCCCATCAGGCAGAGCTGGTGAACGCAGAGCCGGCGCCGGGTCTTCAGAGCCTGGCGCTGTGATCCTCCCAGGCAGTCTGGGTCCCAGTCACCCTGAGGAGCCACTGTGCCTGGCCCTTTGGCCTGTCTTCCTATCTGCCCGGGAATCTCAAGCTTCCTTTTTCTTAACTCTTGGAGTTTCTCAGGAGACTGAGCCCACCCTACAGTTGTCTCCTATCCCATGTTCTTCCTACTGAAGTTGTGACTCAGGCTTGGTTTCTTTGGTGTCACTGGTTTATTGATTTCCTTTGTTGTTGATTTCTATTTTTCATTTTCCCAATGCCACCAAAGCCATGGAAAGTAAAAAAGGTGATACCCTCAGTTCTCTGCAGGACTTGCCTCCCAGCACTTGCCATGTGATAAGAAAACTACTAAAGCTGCCTCCCCCTGAAGACATCTAACACGTGCATTGCTGATTTAGGCTGGACAAATGGGATTCGTTACTTTTGCTAAAGGCCATTAAGGGAGCACAGGATGGCGATCTGGTGTTCAGAGGATCTGCTAATTCCCAGACACTGAGGGGAGTATTCAACACCCACTATGCAGTTTAAATCTCCGAACAGGCCTGCCCTGAGTAGAAAATGTTATTATGCCCATTTAACAGATAAAGAAAGAGAGGCTCGAGGGGTGTAAAGCTGAAGTCGCACCTGGAAAACAGGAGAGCTCAAGTTTGTCCTTCTGACTTCATTGCCCATCTTCTTACCATTACACCATGCTGCTCCCACCCCTAAGCACATCAAAATTTATTTAATTATAAGTAATTGCTTTGCAAGTACCAAGGTCCTGAGTTGATGGAGTGGACACTCTATGAAAGCATAACCTTTTAGGTACCAAAATCCCACACTATGTGGCTATGTCAGGGACCAGGTTTCCCCTGAATTGTGAATATCATCTAATCCAAACCATACTGGACCCAACAGATAGTTATAAAGCGTTTTGACACTTCAGAGAAGGGTATACTGCAACAAAAAACCCACCGGAGCCACAGGCCCAAAACTGCAACATGCATTCGCAAACATCACTCTCTATTCACCCAGGGACAGGATGGCGTTTTAATCCCAGGGCATTAGTTCAAATCTGTTCTAGATTTGAACTGACAGAAAATTGTTTCCTCCTGACAGCCGCTCAGCAGTCCACGCTCATTCTCGCTAAATTGGTGCTCCCGGGAGGCAGAGCTGCCTGTGTGCAAACTCTGAAAGCCACTGGCCTCCGCGGAACCACATGGCAGAGTGGGGGGAACCTGAGGCAAAGATCAACTTCCTTTAAAAACATTCCCTGAAGGGACCCCATGCTTAAGGCAAAACAGATGCTCCTGAGAAACAGCATCGGGCTAAAGGGAAGCGTGTGTCCTGCCACAAACCATCCCTTAATTCAAATCACCTCCTTGCCAAGGTCTCCCCTTTTCCTCCTCTTCATGTGTTAGAAGCAGCGTCTGCACGCACAAGCACAGGCGCACGCATGCACACACATGCACACATGCACACATGCACACAGGGACCTGAAGTCCAGTGGTGGGCTTCCTCAGGATGATGGGGAATCTTCCAGCTTTGCACAAAACTAGTTGTGAGCGACTCTATCCAACAGCAACACAAACATTTGTTAAGCTCTTAATTGCCAGGCCCAGGCCAAGTGCTTCCTGTGGGTGTGTACGTGAGGAAACGAGGGCTTACAGCCGTTATGCCCAAGACCACATGTCCAGCAAACGCGGGTCCCAGGGTGCACCGGGCCAGCCGACCGTCCAGCAGGCCAGCCGGCCCACCTCCATCACGCCCTCTGTGCTCCACGCTGCCCTCATCTTCCCCCTGGGCTATTGCAGCTGCCTCCTGGCTGACCTGTCTCCTTCTCCATCCTCCATGGCCACATAGAGAGCAAACCTTTTGAATATTAGACCTGCAAGTGTTGCCTTAGCATTTCAACTAGGCCAGGCCTGGTATCTGTGATTCTTTCAGCAAACTTCAGGCACACGAGATAGCTGCTGCAGCTCCAGACATCATGTCAGTGTTTAGGGTAAAAAACAACAGAAGAGGGTACCAGCCATGAGGGTCCTCTTGATCGGGAAAGCTAAGGGAACTCTTCTGTTAAGACTTAGGATCACCAGGCAACCACCTAAGATGCAGCACAAGGACATCTGTATTCAACAAAAACTCCATATTTCATAGGAAAAGAGCCATGAAACCTGTTTGATTAAGCATGGAAACCAAATACTGGCCTCTTCGGATAACGGTTAGCTCCTCTCGGAATGGAAAACTGCATAAGAATCAAAACCTGATGTGCGAAGTGTCCCCTCAAAGCGAGATAGTCAAAAGATGTTAGAAGCTTCCGCCAGGAACACAGACATCTCTATTTCTCAGTTGAAAAAATTTACCATTCCTAATTAAAACCACAATATTTAAAGAATGATGTCTCCCCCCCCCGCATGAAAGGACTTGGTTCCATATTTGTAAGGTGTAAGGAACATGTGAGGTCTGGTGGCCTCATATATAATAACCCTATGCATGTAAGTACTATGCACAGGGGTATCTGGAAAGATTTTTAATCAATGCCAGGACAAGCCTGAATTCCATTGATGGAAATGTAGAACACATGGCTCCAAGTCTGTTTGCTTAACCATAAAATGAGCAGAGTATTATCGACTTTACTTCCCCCCATAGGGTGAAAGAGCAGAAGATACAGTCCATAAAGACACAAGCTATGTTGACAAAGGACTGACGGCAGTGCTTGCTAGACTTGGGGAATTCAAGGATTACCCACTTTGACCTTGCCAAGTAGGAATGTTAAAATGACAGTCATAACAACCATCAACCAACCAACAAACCACCTACCACTGTCATTTCATAACAGGACTTTTGAACACTAAGCAACTAGGGTAGTCATACTTATTCTTAAAGTAAATGGCGGTACTTGAAATGGAAAGAGTTTTACTAAACCTTACTCCTTCATCCGAATTTTGTTCATTTGATATGCAGAGGTTAACATTCAGGAGTCACTGTGTCTATCACATTCCCTTTCACTTACACTCCTGGCCAACTGTGCTGGTTTACAATTCCTGAAACATGTCTTTGCTTTCTTCCATACTTTTGAAAACACAGTTTCTTCTGCTCAGATAACTTCACATCATCTCTGCCTACCAAAATCAATCTTCCTAACAGTGTCAGCACAAATCCCACCTAGCCACGAAGCTCTCCACAACTTTACGGATAGGTATTCTATGTACAAAGAAAGCTAACAAGAGATATAAAAAAATACAAAGGCAGAATGATCCATTTAAAAAGTTATTTATTAAACAAGTTAAATACAAATACATTTAAAAATCTAACTATTAGATCCCTTTGAAATATCTACCCTGGGAAGAAGCATCTTCCAAACTTCCTAAATGATAAAAATAACACGTATGAAAATTTTTTAAACAAACAATAAAGTACATGGTAAATTCAGAAATAAAAACAAAAACATACAAACATACAAACTATTGAAGTATAAAACCGAAACGTTCATGTTCTTCAGGCCAAACTGTCTATGTTAAAGTTAATAAACAGTCTATAGACACCATTTTAAGGCATCATAATTTATTATATGGAAATAATTTTAGAATGTGTTGGGTGTGTAAATTGTTCACATTTGGCAAACATATTCTACATATGGATAGTCACTTATACCTAATGAAAAAAATAACATAATTTAAACATCTTGATTTGAGAACTGGATTTGATGGTTCTGTTAAATTCCAACATCATAATTGCCAAGTGCATTATCAAAAGAGTTTTTCAATTTTTTTTTTTGTAAAGCTGCTTCTAAAAATTTCAGTATTTTAGGGCAAAAGAAAATACCATGTAGTCTTGTTTATAAATTCTGATGCTTAGGTTCTGTGGTTAACACACACAAAAAAACATGCACTAGAGAGATCCCTACAGAAAAGCTTCTGCCTTGTTCAGTAGTTCCAAATGGTGTTATGTACTATATCACTGGAAGTCGTGGTTTCACCACAGATTTGGCAGTAGCTTCTGTTTAAAACTTTGCCCGATAACATCCATCAAAGGCTTTCAAACATAATTTCTGGCAGTACACACAGAGTCCACGATGTGAATGGGGCCCGCCAGGGGACGTGAGGGCCTTTATGGAAAAACGTTAGCTGTGTGTGTGTGTGTGTGTGTGTGTGTGTGTGTGTGCAAGCTTTATGGAGGTAACGGGATGAAACGGTTTATTCAGAACATAAACACATTTTCCTTATCACATCCCAACTGTATAAATAATATAAATCAAATATTTAGAATTTAAATGGGTTCTGAATTTCTATGAGGGGCAATTTCCCCCTCTTCTCATTCTTGACAGAGCGAAAGCTTTAGTGACACCCATCTTGCGGACACCGAGGGAAAGGGCCCCTTTGCCCCGTCTCAGTCGGAGAGGGAGGGAGAGCGAGCCGACCTGCCGCTGGCGGGGCTGGAGAAAGGGAAAGGCTCCCTGTCCTTCTCTTTACTCTCGTGCTTGTGCTTGTGCTTGTGCTTGTGCTTGTGCTTCTTCTTCTTCTTCTTGTGCTCATGGTGGTGGTGGTGGTGGTGCTCGCCGTGTTTGGAGGATGCCGAGTCCTTAGAAAATACCGAGAGCGGAGCTGTTGCAACCGGATGCATACTCATCTCCAAAGGTGACTGTTCTTTACCTTCGAGATTAAAAACACCCAAAATGAGTTCCCGTTGATAACAAGGAAAGGGAAAAGCGAGAGGGAACTGACACAGTGCAGGAGGAGGGATTCCTAAGGGGTCATTACTTCCATGGGAACAACTAGGAAAAGAGTTATCGCCCAAATAAGGACACACTAGTTAAGTTTTCAGCATCATGGCCAGAAGTTGAATATTTCAATTCCTGTCTATACAAATTATGACATATACCAGTGTGTTATCAAACAGTCTTCCAAAGATTAACACTTCCTATTTTAAAGTGCTGTGAAGAAACAATAATGATTACACTGTTGTAAGTTAAGACCCACACTGGTCGATGAAAGCATAGCTCCTTTAACTACAGTTTTGCCCTAGGTATTTGGGGGGAGTAGCAGTGCTGTATCTGTGACATCTGGAGAACCGCTTACCACACACTAAGTTACTGACAGTGATGTCTCAAAACAACCCCGAAGTTCTATAATTCCTTAAGTTCTAGGAATAGAAAGGCAAAGTGAACTCTTAAGTATATTTAGCATCCTTAGTTTAAGAAACCCAGAAAAGGTGGAGAGTATATAAAGAGAATGTCTCTTCTTGAAGATAAAAGTAGTGACATTAAAAACAAAACAAAACAAAACCCGAGCGTCAGGAGACCTGTGCCCTAGAACAAGTTCTGCTGTTAGCCTTCAGCATATAGCTGATCCTTCTCTATCTCGCCTAAAAAATCTATCAAATGTCTTTGAAAGTTCTTTCCATTTCTAACATTCTATCAGTCTAGGAGTCTACAACAGTAGTTTTCAGACTCTAGCGTCCAAGACTTGTTTCCTCCAGGCCCGATAATCCTTGGGCCAAACCCTAAGGAAAAATTTTTCCTGTGTTACTCTTGAGTTTAGGTTAATGATACTGTTTTACATGCAGCCAACTAAGAAAAAAGCCTAAGAATCATCTCAGATCCCTTTCCTTTGAGACCCAGTTGGTTACCAAGTCTTGTTGATTCTCACAAGTATCCCTTAAATCTGCCCCCTACTCCTGTCTGCAAGTGTATGAATTCCGACCACCTCGCCTCACCTGGAGCATACAGTACTAGTCTCGTATTAACTGGTTTCTTGCCTGCAGTGTCTTATACTCAGACCCATGTTTGACACAGCTACATAGCAGTGGTTCTTAACCAGGGCACTGTTGCCACAAAGGGTTATTTGGCGATGTCTGGAGACATTTTGGTCCCCACAACTCGGGTGGGACTGGGGGAGGACGTGTGACTGGCATCCTGTGGGTAGAGGCTAAGGATCCTGTCAAACAGCAGACAAAGCACAGGACAGCCCCTACAACAAAGAATTTTCATGGCCCAAAGGCCAATAGTGTTCAGTGTAGGAGACACTGCTACATAGAAAATTTCCTAAAACTAAAGCTGATCATAATTATCTGCTTAAAATCTCAGTTCTAATGACAGAATAAAAGCTGGTCTTTGAACTTCAGTAAAACAGTTTCTGAAAAAATTTATTTTTTTATCCAAACTAAAAAACTAGGCTTTTCACTAAAATGGACTGCAATGCAGTCCTTTCTTTTCCTTTTTAAAAGATAAGTTCTCAGCACTAATTCTGATCTAAGCCAGCCCCAAACCACCGTTAAAAAAAAACAAAACAAGCATCAACACAGACATTTCCTAAAATCACTTTCAGCACTAATTTTATTGACAGTTTATAATCTGTCCTGAGCTTCCCTCTCCAGCCTTACGGCGAGCTCTTCCTTCCTGCACACTCTAGGCTAGCCCTTGCACAGCTCTGCATTTGCAAATGCTCCTCCCTGGGCTTTGAATGCCCTTCCCTTATTTCTTGTCTGACTTGCACATTCATGTAGCAAATATTAGGAATGACATGGCAACTAGAGGAACAGTGATGAACCTGACACACTAGCACAGAAGAAACTGAGTAACTACACCTGAGTAATAAAAGACAAAACAGAATGAAACAGGAGCCAGACAGGAGCCTTAAATTAGTTGAGGGTGGAAGCTGGAGGGAATCAGAGGCAAAATTCTCCAACGAGTAGTGTTTAAGCTGACATACAGGAAGGGAAGGAGAAAAAAAACATTTTCGGTTCTTTAATAATTTAAAACTCAGCTCAAATGTCATCGCTTTGGGAACCTTTCCTCAAAATGCACCCCCTCCAAATTAGTTTTTTCATGTTCCACAATATAACACAGATGAGGAAATTAAGGCACAGAGAAATTAAGTAACTTGCCCAAGGTTGTACTGGCAGATCTGAGCTACAAAACCAGAGCCTGACACCAGGATCTGTGCTCTCAACCGCCCTGCCGGTCTGCACATAGCACAGCACACACTGTAGCATATCTTTTATCTTTGGGTCTCTCTCATTAGACTCATCACTTCTTGAGGACAGAGAGTCTGTCTTTTCCATTTTTGTATCCCAGTGTGTCGCACGGCATCTAGCAGCCCCTATACTCCCACCACCTCACCCCTGCCAAAGCTTATTAAACAAATGAATTAATATAACATAATTATAAAACTACTGTATTTCTTTTTAAATAGAATGTCAGATGAACTTAGTCCAACTAAATGCAACTGAAGGTCACTAAATTTGAAGGCAGAAGGATAAAGCACAGAAACTGCGACAGATCCTCCAACTGGTGTTGACTGACCACTGTATTTACTTTGTGTCCTGCATGCTCCAATTCTCAGAGCAAGTGAACAAGTCTAAGTTCCTGCTACCACAAAATTATATATTTTTACATTCATAAGTTTTAGTAAAGCTAACACTAATAATACTGCAAATGCTAAATAAAGAGATTATTTATATATATATAAAAGAAAGTTTGGCATTTTGTAATAATTGGTATCCAGATTTCCTTCAGAAAAAGAAAAAATCTGAGAGAGACGTGATCCATAGTATCAGTGAAGTACGCCACTAGAGCAGTGATTTTCAGCCTCTGTGCCGCAAGAATTTTTAAACATGCAACACCTGACTAGTCAGGGGCACTGACCTCTTTTCCCTTAGATCTTAAAAAAAAAAAAAAAAAAAGACAACAGCCAACACAATAGCCATCCAGTGTGAATGACATAAAATTATACCTATTGTTTTGTCAGATCAAAAAATAGATTTTTTGGTGTGCTACAGAATTTTAGTAATTAGTTTATGTGTGCCATGAGATGGAAAAGGTTGAACATCGCTGTACTATCTGATTTTAATTTAGATTTTAAATGAATTACACGAATAGGATCACAATTCTATACACAGAGTATAAGTAAATAGTTCCATAGCAAACAGAACACACAGCTGGTGGTGAGGAGAGGTAATAAGAGACTTGAAAATCTCATGAACAGATTTCTTTACCACTTATCTTATTACTTAGTCAGTCTATATCAACAGGCTTTGCAGCTTTCCAATTGGCTGGCTGCACACTGGGAGTCTGTGGTCCTTCTTTCCACAGAGGGAAGCCTCATTATCTAATCCTACACACTTGCCAAGCTCCTTGGATTGCACAAAAGCCAATAGTTATATTGGAAAATGTACTTCCCAGCAGAGGCAACTGCCAAATGGACAAGTGAGTGTATATGGGTGTACTCTTTTCCAAAGAATACCTGTAACTACTTCAAAAGTACAAATTTCTTGTCTAGGGTACTGATACTTTGCATTAGAAATACAATTAATTATAAATCTTAAATTTACCTTGATTTGTATGAAAACTTATGAAGACAATAGTTTAGCTAGATTCAAGAATAAAGGTGTTAGGAACCAGGGATCCTAAGGACAAATGGCTGACTGGGGAGACAACTCACAAGATGAGTCTGAAACACCTGGTATAACAGCAAGTTCAAGTCTTCTTAATGAACTCAAGAGTCAGCTTAAGAGGTTCTCAATGTCCAAAGATGGGGCAATTTGAGTGTTGATAATGGACTGGAACTGGAACTAATTGACTACCACACTGGAGGATGCTAGTCAGTCAATTCATTAATTTGAAAATTATTAGGTAAATAGAGAAAATCAAGCCTTTATCTTTTTCCTATATGACCTGTACTACTGGGAAATAAGAGATATGGGGGACTTTAGCTTTATAAAAATAATCCAGTTTCTAAGTAAAAATGAAAGATAAATTAGAATATCACCATCTACAGCCATCAGAGTTAATGAATCTAAGCCTTGAACATCTTAATGGCTAACCTCATAAAAAAGTCAGCCAGATACTATTCTTCAAAGAACACACGATCACCTACAAACCTAAACCTAGTTAAGCTCTAGATACAACTACAAATTTACAGGAAATACAGAGGACTCTAACATGTTAATTATACCAGAGGTATACAATTAGCAAAATACAGTCTTAAAACTACAGACCAAAATCCTGGTTTCTTTAACAAATGCATTGTAAAGGAGGAGGAAGGAGAGATAAAAAGATGGACTGAAGCCCAGCTGGGTGTGGCTCAGCGGTTGAGCATTGACCTATGATTCAGGAGATCAAAGTCTCATTCCCAGTCAGGGCACATGCCCGGGTTACGGGCTCTATCTCCAGTGTGGGGCATGCCAGAGGCAGCCGATCAATGGCTTTCTCATCATTGATGTTTCTTTCTCTCTCTCCCTTCCTCTCTCTGTAATCAATAAAAAAATAAATAAAATAAGAAAGATGGACTGAAAACTTTAAATTTAAAAAGATGAAAAGGAAATATCAGCCAATTGCAATGTGCAGACGTTATGTGAACGCTGATTCAAACAAATGAATTATTAAAAATAAAAATAATGACCTTTATGAGTCAATTAAAATTTAAAGAGTGACTAATTTAATGATACAAAAACTCAATTTTTTCAAGTATATTACTGTGGTTACGGCTTTTTAAAAACCTTATCTTTTAGAGATACATACTAAATTATTCTAAATGATATGTGGGATTTATTTCAAAACAATTCAGAAGGATGGAAATAAGTAAGGGTATGGATTACACAGGAATGACCAAGAGCTGATCACTGCTGAAGCTGAGTAATGGATCCATGGGGGTTCTCTATACTCATCTGACTGCTTCAGTTTTCCAAAACAAAGCATTTTTTTAAAAAGGAGAAGTGAAGGCAATTTGGCTCAATCCATGAAAATGTCAAAAGCCCATATCCTTTGAATGAAAAAGTTCATTTCCAGAAATGTATCCCACAAATGTGCAAAGACATATTCTAATATTCATTAAGACTAGAATTTGTATACTAGTGCATCTGTATAACAGTGCATCTGACAAAACCTAATGTTACTCTATCACTACCACCAACATTTAGCTCTTTTTTAACCCTTAGCTCTTAAGTTTTCATTTATTATAGACAATACATCTTTTTGTCTGCTTAATCTCTACCTTTCCTGACTAATTTTTACCAGGTCTAATCCAAGGTGATAAGAAAGTGCAATTTCTTTCCCATGTGGAATTGTATGTAGAACAGTCAGACTTGGGACACATATGAGATTACTTTCATGCTAGTATAAGAAGTTCCTCTACAGAATCTCCACCGAGAAAAATGCATTTATTACCATCCTCGACACAAACATTTACACACATAACTTCACATATTATTTTAGGCGTTTATAAGATGCCTGGGAACTCGAGGCACACCCAAGGCTAGGCACTACTCATTTTTTAAGTTAATGAAAGCTTTTTCAGTGACCTGAAATATATGTCTCTATTGTAGGATGGGAGATATATCAGATATATCAGGAAAAGAATATATATATATATATATATAAAATTCATATTATAGTTCTTCTATTTCATGTTATACAGAAAGAACAAAACAGATGTTCGGTTTTGTTGTTCTACCCAACATAAACTCTTTCCTAGAGATGGAATAAAATGGACTATGGATAAGAGTTAGCTGCAGTCAATTTAACAAATGCAAAACAAACAGAAAGCGGTACAAATGTAAAACAAATAGAAAGCCTGATGTGGAAGCTTTTCAGCCCATTAACAAACTTGCTGATAACAGACAGTGAGTAATCTGCTAATTCTATTAAATTCATCCACATTAGGTATATGCTTAAATTTAACACAAAACCTACAGTTTCTATTGGGGGAATTGTAAAATCTGGTTTTTGGTTTCTTTAGATCACTATAAAAAAATAAAGTGCAGAATTATGTCATCATAATTTCAGAAAAAAATCAAAGTCTGTTTTTCATATTAGAGTTTCAAAAGAAAGAACTCAAGCTTTTTGACTTGTGTTTTAAAGCGTTTCATCAGAACAGTGCTTTGCTGACTTAAGCCAGAAAGCGTTACATAGTACAGCAGCCCCAGCTGGGCAATTGCAGGAACTCTCCTTTTCTTCCCCACGGAAACCACTAGGGATTTCCCTCTGCTCCAGCTCCTGTCCCTCCTCCTCTCCCCTTCATCAAACAATGCCTGCAGCAGTTTGGGAGACAGACCACGCTGCAGTGGTGGGAGAGATGGCATATGTTTAACCAGTCACCATGGGAACCATAAGCCCTTTTTCCAAATCCCATTCCTTACCTCAGAAGAGGGGAAATAGTATAAAGTAATGAAGGTACTGAAAATACCCCTGCTGCTTTTCCTTTCCTACCCCAAATGGCTTAACCTCCCAACATGTATCATCCCCGCCCCAAAATATTCTATCATATGAAAGGAAAGAGAATGGAGGAAAGGTTAAAAAGTAAACCATGACTTTCCTCTAAACAGTTTCCAGCTCTTCCTTATCTGACCCAAACCCCATTCCTTTCCTATCCCTCCCAGATGACATCTGCAGCACATTTCAGTTCTCAAGTGTCATCTGGCTTGCTGGCTCTGAAGGACCTATCTCAGACTTCATCTCAGCTCATGAAAAAGGAAACAGGGGTCCCAAACTCAAAAAAAGTCTTGGCCCCAAGGAGACAGCATAAACAAGTAAACAGACCACCAGGTGCAAACAAATGGAATCAGTGCAACAGCACATCCCTGCCTAAAAAGGCCTCTCAGTCAGCTCTTCGTCAAGAGAAGCTGGAAACCCAGATTTTATGTGTAATCTCTTTATTTTTAGTCAACTACAAAAACTTCGTAAGACCTCTGGAGATCAAATAAAAGTTGCCTCAGTTGAATGAACTGAATAGGCCCCAAAAACCCATTTGTGAACTTTAGGATCCCTAGAGACTTAAGAGAAGTCACAGCTTCCCTTACCACCGTTCTATGTCTACTTCCCTGAACCCGCAACTCCCAAGCCCAGGCCAAGAGGACCAGAGAAGGAGACCCCCGGCTCCCATTGGGAGGCAGGAGGAGAGAGAAGAAGTTCCTGATTCACTGCCAGCTCTACTTGGAGTTAGGTTAAAGCTGGGCTTCTGACATTTCAGAAGGTGGAGCTGAAAGTGCCCCTTCTCTCAGAAGCACTGTTGCACACAGCGGTTAGGTTTCATACTTCTATTCTTCAGGTGTAAGTAAAAAGGGTTTTTGTTGGCTAGTCTGTGAAAGTTATGCATCAAATATAATGTATCTACAGGAAAACTGTATTTAGATCCGCAAGTAAATATATGTAGAAATAAACCTTTGGGACACTATCATTTGTAAAACGAAGGTTTTTCTAAATTCTAATAACACTGTTGAATTTTAAGACTTGCTCAGGAGTCATAGGGTACTGAACAACATAAATTACAAAGGCACATTAAAGAATATATTAAAAGTTAAGTTTTATCGATCAGTCTATATTTAATATACTGATATATTCTGTCTCATGACACAAAAGGCTGCTACACTGATAAGAACTGAAGCTAAAATTTTAATGCTTTCCTATCCCCACCACTCGCCCTATATCTCCTCCCCAGTCTTCCCATATGATGCAATGAGAACTAAAGGCTGTAAAGAGAGATTCCCAGAAAAGGAAAAATGTCTTTTTAAAAGAAATATGGCACAATAATACAAAAGCACATTAGTGGGAACAAAAACGTGTTAAGACTAACTTCTACATAGGTTAGTGTGCCACATCACTGAGAAAACCAAACAAACTTAGTGAGATTATTTTCTGGAATAAGAATTGACTTCGACTGTTGGAATTCAGATGGAATTTATACTTTAAAGGCATAAAAGGGAGGCAGAAGCATCACTCTCAAACTATACCAAGAGGTTTGATACACTTTAAGTTCTATAATTTTTAAAAAATGTAGAAAATTTTTCATGTCTAGTAAAACTTTAAAAAGTATAATGACAATAAAGCAAAAGTACACCAAAACAACAACAAAACAAAACAAAACAAAACAATCCTTTCAAAACCCAAGAGAATACAAAACTGGCAAGGGTCAAAAAAGTCAAAATTCACTTGTGAAAGTCTCCAGCTGATTTCCTTCTGAAATATATTTTGTGAACCTACCACACAAAAATGCATAAAGCACACAACGAGATATAAGCACCCAACAGTCCAGGGTTACACCACCAAAATATTTTGAGGTGTTTGTTTGAAGTCTCCCCTAATCACAGTTGGTTCCCTAAGCTCCTCAAATCAGTAAACACTCTTTTGTTTATATCATAAAAACAGTGTTTATATAAGCAAACCCATCCCTTAACATTTTAAAGCCAGATTAATGACTTGGAAAAACTATTAATTACAAGTGGTTCTGCTTATGTATCTCGTTCTTCACTCCCTGTTCCTCCAAAACTTGAAGACTGAATCTTTTCATCAGCCTTCCCTGCTTGCTCCTTATTTGCATTGTAATCTTCTCTTTGCAAGTAACAGAAGAACTGAGGAAGCGGAAGACAATGTAAAACAGTAGAATAGGTAATAAACATATATGAACTGAATTACTTTTCATAAACTTAGGCCCGATTAGTATGAAATAATTTAAAAGTCAAAACATGTGAGTTTTCTAGGTGTAGCATCAAGGCTTCAGGATTGAACCAATTGTAAAACTTTCAAGGGTAAGGAGAGAGGAGAAATAAGTAGTTGATTTTTGTATTTTAAGAAAGTACAAAGGCTCAGATTTGATGATTTCTACTGAAGTTGACACTTTCGTATTATGATATTTTTAGAGAAAGCACAACAAGGAAAGAGTAAAATGTTAATACAATGGGTAACTTTAAATGACACGAGATCATTTCCCTCCTCCCTTTTTACTTTGTTATTTCTGAGTTTTACAAAATAGGAGTAGTACATTCATTACTTTTGAAATATTAAAAAGTCTAATTTAAAATAGTCTTTATGTTAGATACTATAAATTCAATGTGTTTCAAGTAAAGCAAGTCCTCAGATCTGTATTTTTAATTTATTTTTTAAGTTAATAAAGACATTTTACGTTATACACCTGAAACAAATGTAATATTGAATGTAAAAAGAAGAAAAAACTTCATGAAATTTACAGATTTCTTCTTGATGAAAACAACAACAACAATAATTTCACCTGTTCCCTTCCGTGCAAGTTCCAGACCCCACTGGGGTTTTGTGGCAGGTGTGCCATCACCACCTGGTGAGTGCTGGGGTATTAAAGCCGATCGAGAGCAAGCTGGTCGATATTTAGAGAGCCCTAAAATGAAGAAGGGGAAAGAGAAGATGAATTAATTCCTTTGTTTCCCAAAAGGAAAAAAAGCCTGACAGGTTTTTATAAGCTAATGTTTATACCAGAAGCAGTTCGACAATAAAATTCTAATAATAAAAATACATTTTTACTGCTGAAGATACCATTTGATTTAACCCTTTGTCATGGTTCCTATATACGTAAGTCTGAGAACAATACACAATCAAGAAAGACAGTTTAAGGTGACTGGCCTGCTGAACATATAAAAGGAATTCTATATTGTGGGGCAGAAACCATGTCATATTTCTTAATATTTACATGGAACTTTGCAAGTTACATAAAAGCTTTATTCCTGAAAATTAAAAAATGCTGATGACCAAATAGGTGTAATCTCTTCAAAAAGCATTATGGAACTATATATAAAAAGCTAAGACAATCTGAACAGAAGTATTGCATAATACAGCTAAAATTAATAATTTTGCCAACAATATATTATTGGGAATTTATACAAAAAACATAATTTGATTAAAAAGCAAAAAACTTTTATATGAAGGTATGCAATGCAGAATTACCTGTAATAAATAAAAGTCAGAAATAACCTAACTGGCTACCAAAAGGGAAATAATAAGGTAAATTACACATATCAACTCAATACTTTCTCAGGTAATATCTTCAAAAGAGAAGATTATGCTGTTTGAGAGATGCACGCAAAATCTAATATGTGAAGCAGGCAGGCAAAAAGAGTAGTAGCAGCATTATGGGCAGCATTAACTTCAGTCAAAGAATTTTAAATACAATTATGGTTATATTATTAAAAAGAAATCAGATCTAGTATTTTAACTTTGAGGTTAAGCTTACTATTAAAAGAGAGAGAGGCAGCAAGAGAGAGAAAGAAATTAAAGCTATTGGAAGGAATCTTATAGATTTTTTTTTTTTAAACAAACCCAGGGAGCCCAGCCAGGCGTGGCTCAGCGGTTGAGCGTCGACCTAGGACCCAGGCAATCGGGGTTCGATTCCTGGTCAGGGCACATGCCCAGGTTGCGGGCTCGATCCCCAGTCGGGGGCGTGCAGGAGGCAGCCGATCAATGATTCTCATCATTGATGTTTCTATCTCTCTCTCCCCCTCTCCTTTCCTCTCTCTGAAATCAATAAAGATATATTTAAAAAAACAACAACAACAAAAAAACCCAGGGAGAGGGAAACTGGATGAAAGAAGGTGAAGAGACTAGCCAAAGAACATATATGCATGCCCCACAGACACAGACAACAGTGTGGTGATGGCAGAGGGAAGTGGGGGTAGGGGCTGGGTGGAGGTGGGCAGAGGAGGAGAGAATGGGGACATCCGTAATAGTGTCAACAATAAAAATAAAGTTAAAAATAAATAAATAAATAAATAACAAATCCAGAAGTATAAGCATGCCAAATATTAAAAAAATAAAATGCAAAATAAAAAAACCCTACTTTTTGTATTTATACCTTTGCTGGTATGTTATAATCTGATACAATCTAATATTTTCTTTTACACCAGCTACTTTTAAACTTTATAGCTGTTCACTTGAAAATAAAGCAACACACCTGCAAACAGTGGTATGTATCATTTGAACTCTCTCGATCAGCCCAGGGACGGCAGTACACTAATCTTACCTGGCGTGGATGGCCTTTCAAGCATGTTCAAATGGTGAGAAATGAACGCCTGGCTGTCATGAACAGTGTCCATGTCAATCTCCTCCTCATCTTGAGAACTTGAAAACTAACACACACACACAGAACGAAAGAGAAATAGGGCCATCATGTCACTTTATGTTTGGATCTTAGCTCTTACGAAAAGCAGCAGAAGAGGCCACAGGATATACCCCTAAATAATCTTAAAAGGAAAAGTAGTCTCTTTTTCTCAAAAAGTATTAAGAGAAAGAAAAGATGATGTGGTCCAGCCTCCAAAAGAAGCTGGTTGGAAATTACTGGAAATGTAACAGCAACTAAAGTCTATTCTATGTTACGGGAGAGTCATGAGTCGGGGTAGATCGTGCACACAGTTCCAACAGAGAGGCAGCATGTGACAAAGGCCACACAATTGGCTGGATACTTTAGAGACGGACACGTGGGCTCTTATGGCTCAGCTGCCCCAGCTGCTTCTGAGGAAAACCAAGGGTCCACAGCATTACAAGGCGGCGGACGCTACACTGAGTACAGGTTTAACCTGCATCTCTTCCTCGGATTGAGAGTCTGACTTTACTGCTACCCTCATTCTTCTCCAGACCTGACCGGGTCCTAGTGGGGGCCCAGTGCTGTGTCAGACTTCCTCTTACTCCCTGCTGGTGAGCTGACACACTACGAATGAGGTGCTTCCTGGGCAAGGTGATCATCTTCCCAAGGCAATATTTAAGACCCAAATTAGATTTCTGAAGACAAGTAGCTCCCATTACAGCTGAACACTGACAGTTACAGCAACCATGCAGAGTAGAGCAAGCCCGGTGCCTGAAAGGTATCAGCAGTGAGCTTAAATAAATTTCGCCTTTTCCTGTCAGCTGTGATTTTTTTTGGGGGGGAAGGGGGAGAATTGCTTAAGTGAACTTTTAGAGCTTTCCCAAAAGAATATATTTTTTGGTGTCATTTTCTCCTCTTATCCTGAAGACTCCAAGTATGAATGTGGATAAATTAACATAAACGGGCAAGAATTATAAACATTCATTCCCATAAATTTATAACTATTCGGATCTGAAAGAGCTCTTTAATGAGACTTTTTTCCCCATGAAAAGATCTGTCCTACGGCTTCATAACCCAAACTCTAGGATACATTCTAAATTTACAACAAATATAAGTACAATTATATTTCAGAAAATCTAGGTGAATAAGTAATTTAAAGTGACTATTTCTAACTAGTATAGAGAGAATTGAGTGTTAAGGTGCCAGAACACCTTACCAGTAGAGAATTGCCAGGCAAGTAATCTGGTCTAAATACTGGTGAAAAATGAAGCCTGAAGTATTGGGGACATTTATGACTAAATGTTTCAATAAGAAAATCATTTCTGAAAAATGTTCTTTAAGTTACAGTAAAATGATTAATATGTACCCTAAAGGACTTTCTGCAAAAAGTCTGGTAATTTTATAATGCACGGATAGAAATAAAACTTTTCTGAAGGCAAACATATATAAAATTTTTAAATGTAATGCATAATCTCCTTCCAAATCAGGTAACTCACTTACCTGATCATTTGTCGTTATCTATCTACCTATTTATTTAATTCAAGAAACATTTGCCAGGCACTTATCATGTTTAGAACTGTGCTAGGTATTACACAGAGTAGGAAAAGAAAAAAATGTCAGGGTCCCTTGTGTTCAGTTTTCTGTGACCATATACGAACCAGAAGGTTAATATGTAACAGGTTAAATATTCATTTCAATTTTCTACTACTCAAAGAAGAAATTCTATGTGAGCAGTACAATCTTTATGTCATCAAAAGGAGTAAAGGGACTGGCAGCACTATGTAGCTGTCAGTAGTACTTTGTAAACTACAAAGTACTAAGTGAATGTCAGCCAGTTTTTAAAAAGGTAACAAAAAAACATTAGTGGCTTTAAAACTGCCAGTTTAAAAGGTGCAATTCTCTTCCCTAGAGAGCTCGCTATAATAAAACTACATCTTCAGTAACATGTGATTCTTACAGGGTTCTGAAATCCAACTAGCTGTGTGTGGCTACTTGGATTAACTGCAGTTTCTTGATTGCCTGTGATGGCCTCTGGAATTATGGTCGGATTCAAGACAGCTTTTTTCTCTTTTAGATTAAGAACCAACCCAAGCTCTGGCAAGGGTAAACAGGAAGGTCTGCTGAGGCCAAAAAGTGTAAAGTACAAATCCACAGCACCACACCGTAGCCTCCAGTCATGTGAAGTACCTAAGAAGGAAATAATAAATAAAAATCAATATACACATTTAACCATACATTTTTATCTGTTCCAGAACTTGTACAGAGGGAAGAAATGAAAGAATTATGATGCTTAAAAGGAGCCATCTCTCGACCTAGGCCCCACTGGCAAACCCTCTACCCTAAAGATGCGTTTTATCTTAACACAGATACTTATAAATTATTATAGGAACAATAAATGTTAGTGAGTTAACTAGGGAACTTTATAACTGGGAAAATGTTTTATCATCACACCATTCTTCTTTACAAAATGAATTAAAAAATAGTATTTTTTGTTTTTAGATTTTTCTTTTAATTCCTCCTCCTCTGTAACTATCCCACTTTCGTTCATTCTCTGTTCAACTTGTCTAATTTTCTTCCTTAATAGCCTGTTAGGAAGACAGCGCTCCATGAGCCATCATGAACCCCAGCACTTAAATTCTCCTAACTCTCAAATTTATTATGTTCAGGTTTTAAATATAAGAAACCCTACAACTACTAGAAGTAACACAATTCTGAACTTGGAATCATTGTAAAGGAGGAAAATATTTTGTTAAACACCTTCACAGTTGTGTTGTTATACTAGGTATTTGTTTTAAAAAACAGTAATAACAAGCAAACCCCAGAGATAGCAACAAGCAGTACAACACGTATTGACCAGAAAACTGCCTGTTTAGAAATTCAGTTTAAAGTAGCTGAGAGACTAGAGACAAGTTCTTTCAATTCTCTGATGAATCTCAGTTTTTTCATCTCCAAAATAAGGGTTTTGGTCTCACATTTGCCCAAAGTAATGACAAACCAGAGCTCACTGAGACCAGAGTTCTTTCTCAGTTTCCTTTTCTTCCCCAGTAGAGCACTCTAGGTAGGTACCGCCATTAAATAGAACTGACTGACAAGATAAAAATTGTCACCTCGGGTTAGGTAATTGCTATGATTTCCAGGCTGAAATTAAAATAATCTAGAGAATTTAAAACAAGTGAGAAGAAGCAATATATAAATTCTTCCAAATAAGAAAATAAACCCTATAAATATTTAATTCTGACCATGGTTTCAAAAAGATTACCATAATTTTTAAAAAGAAACAAACAAAAAAAGAAGCTGCTACAGCAAATTTTGGACAGCATAAATATTAAGCTTTGTGATTTTAAATAACCAACATTAGAATAAGTAAACAAATTATAATCAACTAGTGATTCTGATGAGATTTACTCTGATAAGTAAATATTATACTAATTATATGCAAAGGCAGTCCACCTGAAAGGAATTACAATTTTATGGAGTTCACACTATATACTACACTGTGCTACGCACCCTGCAGGCCACACTGCTGCAAATGAGCTACTATCAATCCTATGAGACATCTTCACTTCTGCTACTGTGTGCAAGGTAACAGAAACACTGCACTGTTAGAAGCAAGAGAAAGGTAGGAGGACAAGGTTATGTCCTAAAGGCTACAAAGAAACCAGAAGTGGGAAGAGCAGTACAGAATGAAAGGGAGAATCTGCACTGGAGACCCAGCTCCGTCTCTGGAACATGCGTATCTGCGCTGGACCGGCCTGTCGTAGGCCGCCTTCATTATCCTCAGGGCATCAGTCCTGAGCCTCTCCCACAAAGGCTGGAGGGGCTCAACCCTCTAAAAGAAGGGAGGGAATCTGGCCAGAGGAGCTAGCCCTATAGCTATAGATTCGTGGGTCTAGCAAGAAAAGAAGTAAATCTCAGGCATTTTATCAGTTAGAAAACCAAGAATGGTTGAGGGTACATTTATACTGGGAGAAAACTAAACCTTGAAGATCAATATCACCTGTCTGCTACCATCCTGAGCACTCTGTTGTATATGTCATCAGAACCAGCTAAGCCGCTGAGTGTGACTTCCTTGAAGTTTTTAAAAAATTATTTTAATTTAAAAAAACAAATGGAAATGTATATTTTCATAAGCTAGGGTGTTCTGTGTTTTGAAAGTCAGATTAAGGATAATTAGGCAGCATACTGAAGGATGCTCAACTGCACTAAATTAACTAGACTATGGTTTTTACTTTTTATTTCTATGTGGGCTTTTTGGCATTGGTTTACCTTTCATTTGGATGGAGGAAAGAACATTACTGTTTTGTTCCAGAGGCAGCTCCTGATAGTGTGTTTTTCTTCAAATAACTGACTTACAAATATTAAAATTTAAGGCTGATAAGAGGAAGATAAAAAATGAATAGCAGTGCTTCTGCTAAAATCACAAAAAAAGATAAAAGAACTGCCCTATATTTCAAAACCATGGAATAAAATCTTAAAATGGTTGTCATTACAGTGGAATTAAGTTGAGAGGTATAGTGGGGAAAAATCACTTCTGCTTAATTCCAGTTAGTTCTATGATCTTGGGCTAGGATTCCAGATCAATCAATTCCATTAGACAGAGGCCCTGGAGCAGTTGCCAATTTCTGTGACAGCATTTTGAAGACACTTCTTTAATCTTCCAGATATCCCTCCCACCCCAATCATTTACATGGCAAAGAATGCTCATAAATTGATAAAACAGTCATATTTTCTTCTCTTGGGTAATGCTGTCCATTCTGTCTTCATTGGCAGTGAAACTGGGACCAACCCTGCTTACCTGAATCAGAACAGCACTCAAGAAGAAAGCAGGGAACCCAGTACTGATGTTCTCTATTCAAACCAGAAAGTATCTGAAGACAAGCCCCCAAAATAGTGAATCTGATCCTAAAAAAGACTATCTCTTCATTTTCTGAAGTAATTGCTATTAAAGCTGAACAAGCCAAAAAGCTGCTAAGAAGAAAGCTCACTTTAAAAGTCACTTTTTCAGTACGTTTTTCAAGAAACCCAGCAGCCCTTATTGACAGAAGCTTGGAAATGTGCACAGAGTGGGGCCAAAGGGTAGTTCTATCCTGATCTTTCTGTCCATCTTACACTAAGTGAAAACAGCAAATTTCATTTCTATTTGTACGTATAATTTCCTAAGAATAAAGTGAAAAGACTTATTTTTCAACCCTTTGTAACCTTCTGAAATAACAACAATAATAATAATACTTTGCCGTTTAATGTTTAGAGCTCTTTAAACATTTGAGACACTTTCACATAAATCAGTATTTTTGTCTCTTCAATCACCCTGTGGGGAGAGTGAGTGAATATACCCTTAGCAAGTGTTATCACAGCCGCCACTGTGAAGGTAGGTGTAATAAGTATCCTACTTATAAAAAAAAAGACAAAAAATAAACCACAGTTCTTTAAGTACTGAAAACCTGTTGTAAAATGAAAATAATCCAGTCATCATTTTGTGTTTTTGAAAGCCACTGCTGTCTCACCAGAATTCATAAGTTTCCAAAGTTGATCTACCAGGGCTTCATTGCATAAGGGAGACTCCATGTTCTTAGTAAATGGCGGGTTCTTAGTCAACATGTCTAGAATCTTATGTCTGAAAAAGAAAAATTAAAATTTTGCTGACCATTAAAACATCTGAAAATCACCTGTAGTTCCTTCTTCCTATTTTATTATCTCCCTTCTTAGATGTAGCTTTGTGTTTTTAGTTTCATTTCAAAAGGTGTACGTTACATCCTAACAGTATTTAATACTGTTTTTTCACTAAAAATTTCCGGTGGGTTTGCTTTTTCTAAAATTGCCTTCGTGTACAATGAGATCTTCTAACACCAGGCTCTGTGTATTCTTAACCAACCTTTCCCATCCTGCTACTAAAGTAACATTTTATCCTCCTTAGAAAAGTTTTAAAAAGGCTGATCAGTAAGTATAAAAATCTTAAAATGGGGCAAAAAAAAAAAAATCACATATAGGCCAAGAAGTCTACATTTGAGATGATAAAATGAATATAGAGTTTGTTATTATAGTATCTTTGTAAAGCATGGAAATACGCAAAAGCATTTTAAACACGGAGATTACAAAATGTTTCCTCAAAATAAACTGAGATTTAGAAGAGTCAATTCATAACAAAGTATCCTTACAGGTGGCAACAGTTATACTCTGCTATTGCAAGTTTTTACCTTACGTGAGAGGCTACCTGAACAAATTATGCAGTCTTCTGAAAAACAGGGCAGTGTGACCAAAATAAAATTTGAGAAAGAAAATGTCCAATGCTATGGGCAGAAGACACCATAAAAAAGAATAGAGAAAGAAAAGAAGCAAGGAGGCTCTGATAGTAATTTAACATTCAGTGAAGGGACAAAAGCCAGGCCTACAATGAGACCTGAGAAATTCAAACCTCAGAGTAATGGCATGCTTGGGTATAATGGAGGAAGAAAGAAACTGAGGTTGTAATTTTTACTGATGCTAGCAAAACTTTAAGAGGTGAACCTGGGAAATTTTTGTATTTAAATTGTTGGCGGAAAGATATCAGATGAGATTAGTACTTAAGAGATGGGAGAAAAGTGGACTACTATGTTGCAGTTAAGTCACTTAATCCCTTTCAGCTTCAATTTTATGTCTGTAAAACTGAAAGATGTAGACTCTCACTGTTAACATCCTTTTGTGCTTTGAAATTTTAAGACCATATGAAAGACTACTGAAAGGCTATGAGAACAAATAAAACTTCATAGTATTTACGCAGATCACCGCAAACTCTTTACAGCCACTCCAAAAAATTGTAAAGGGTACTCTGGGAATATCTTTGAAATTATTACTAAAAGAGCAATAATGATTAGTACATGTATTACTTTTAGTAATTAAACATTTCTTTAAAAGGTTTTTCTTTAAAGTTTAGATAACAGAAGACTTTACAATAAAATATTTATAAATGACTAAATACTCAAAGCAAGTACTCAAAGATGATAAAGTTTAAGGGAAAACAATAAGAATCTTACGCTTAATTTTTCACAGATTAAACATCAAAATTCAGAACAAGCATACGTTTCAGACATCTGGAATAAATCTGAAGCAAATCCTAAGAAAGTCATGGGTTTATGTCATATTGACAGCGGTCAAAGCATCATATTATTTCCCTAGACAACTGAGAATTTTCTTGGTGGGCCAATCCAAAACCATTGTCAATCACTATCTATAGAAATGGAGTCAAACCAAAACCAAAAGAAAGCAGCAGAAAAGAAGACTAGAAGGAAATACAAAAATAAAAATAATCCCAAGTCTATTTAAGAAAAATTAAGATTTTATATGAGATAGAAACAAATGGGATACACCAAAAACATTGTTCTTAATTATTTTTAAAGGACATTCAATCAATCAGTAGAGGTTTTGTAACTTTGGATATACAAGGGATCCTCCAGGTGCTTATTACATAAGCTTTCCTCTAAGTCACAATACAAACCATACAAAAAATTACAGAAAATAAACTTATATTAACAATATATTTTTAAATGTCTTTTCAAAGCCAAATCAAATTCAAAAAGGGCATGATAAAAGCATAACATATTCCTGTGTTTTCAAAAATAACAAAGACTTGTTCCATGTATAATCTTCTGAAATTATTCAATTTACTTTAGGACTTAAAAATAATAATTATAGCACAAAAACTAACCTTACATAGGGTACAGGGTCATTCTGAATCATATTAAGGAGCCACTGCAGTTCTTCATAACTCCTGTCCACTGAAAATAAAAATAAAGAAATATATTTGTTGCAATTATAACAAATTAAACAAGTTACAGGCAAGGAGTTCACACTTAATATTTAGGACTCTGCCTTAGCTGGATTTCCAATCAGAGTTGAAGGCTGTGGACAATTTACTTTTTTTTAACGTAATAGGCCACTTTGTAAATTTTATTAAGTACTGTGCTACATGCAGCCAAAACACAAAACAGGACCGAGTACGTACTTTTCATTACAGCTCAAATCAGTGGCAAATACAACATAAAGCAAATTATAATTTAGTGAGCCCTAAATTAGAGATGATTAAATGGATAGAATGTGTTTAAATAAATCAAACTGTGTTTCTAGATGCTTAAATCAAATTAGAGAGAGGTCTGATATTCAATGGTATCTCAACTATATTATAAAGTGAACTGTTTTTCCCCGAGTGGTTTCTTTCATTTAAGACCAAAGAGCAGCCTTAACTTTTCAACATAACATAAAGGCAATTACAAAAATCATGCTATAACTGACCAATAAAATGACTTATTAGTTATTCCCATACACCTTTTCAACAAGTTTTGCTATTATGATTTGAAAAGCTTTATTTTCAGAATTTTATTTCTAATATTTTCCATTTTCAAATGATCTAAATTTCATGGATCACATTTAAACGCCTCTCAATAAAATTATGCTTATTAACTTAGTGTTCTTTTAGAAACCTAGTATTAGCATTCCATTTCATTTCAGGTAGTGCTAATTCAGGAAACCTTCATATATATGTGACAGTGAACATCACAGACCTTGAGAAAGAAGGTTGGGAATACTGGCAGGTTTAGTGTACCTCAAAACTTCTAAATTTCATGAACTGGTAAAATCTCGAAATAAAACTGGATACTGATAATTACTTTTTTATGTCATGCTAAGAAATTCATTTTTTTTTAAAAAATCACTATTCTCACCATCATTTCTGAAAAGAATATATATTTTAACACTTCATAGAAAGAACAAATGACAGTCCTTTCTTTTTTTAAAAAATTATGTTTTTATTGATTTTTTTAGTAAGAGAGGAAGGGAAAGGGACAGAGAGATAGAAACATCAATGAGAGAGAAACATCATCGACTGGCTGCCTCCTGCATGGCCCCTACTGGGGATTGAGCCCACAACCCGGTCATGTGCCCTGACCGGGAATCAAACTATGACCTCTAGGTTCCTAGGCTGATGCTCCACCACTGAGCAACACCAGCTGGACTGAGTGCTTTCTTACTTAAATCAACATATACATTATACACACTATATTGATCTTACCCTTTTATAATTTCTAACATGTAAAAATAAACCAACATCTACTCAAGAACGTTCCTCACCCCTTCCTTTCTTTCTAGTCAGATGAAAAGTTCAGGATACTTTAACTTTTTACTTATCTCATATTTTAGTGCTATAATCTGGAATTTTAAATGTAGATTAATTTACACATTTCTTACATCTGTATGTCAACTTTTAAAGAATTCTGATATTTGCAGTTAATTTTAGAACCTAACAAATATTTAAGCTCAGCTCTTCATCTTACAGGCACAGTTGTTCATCACTATGTCTCTTCTTGAGCTACTACTGTGATTCATATCCAGATCAGCTGAAAATTATCTTTAGGAAGTTTATTATTGAAAATGTTACATAGGAGACACACTTCTAGCCTTCAAGGTTACACAAGCAACAGAACAACTTGGCAAAGTAGAGAATCTTAGATCACAATTTCCCCTAAACATTATGTTAGCTGTTTGTTCATTGTCTTCTAAACTCTTCATATTCTGAAGACATCCCTGGCCATACTGTTCTTTTGCCTTGTGTAATAACTGGGTTCTGATATTCCTAGGCACTTACACATTTTTTCCTTAACCTTAAAACTTTAAGTTTTCTCAGACTCTACCTTAGTTCAGTTTCATTTACAGCCTATCAAAGTATTCTATTAGTTCTTGGATTATTGCTTTTCTGTCACTTAATCCATTCTTCATGATTTATTTTATTTTCCTCTTCATCTCTTTATATTTCTCATCTGTATTTCTGAAAATGTTTTGACCCTGTAGTTTTCTCTTATTTATTTCTGGCCTTATTTTTTTCCCAATTTTATAAAGCCTTGCTTAATCCCTGTACTGAAGCTCCTGATTATGTCTCTTGCTCTACTTTTAGATATCAATCTGGGACAGAAGCAAGATGTTTTCTCAAATCCTTCTTATATAGTTAGAAATTTACAAAAGTTGTCTATTTCTTAAAATAACATGCAATTAAAACTATAAGAATGATATACTGACTTCTTGGAAAGACCAAAGATATCTATTTATAATTTTATTCTTTTCTCTCACTTTTTCTTTTTCTTTTCTTTTTAAATATATCTTTATTGATTTCAGAGAGAGGAAAGGAAGGGGAAAGAGAGAGATAGAAACATCAATGATGAGAGAGTCATTGATCAGCTGCAGCCCGCAACCTGGGCATGTGCCCTGACCAGGAATAGAACCCCAATCTCCTGGATCCTAGGTCGACGCTCAACTACTGAGCCACGCCCGGCCGGGCACACTTTTTAATTCTTATAAGAATTCTACATTGACCAAAAATCAATGAATCAAGAATTTAAAATTATTAATCTGAAAGCAATAAAAAAAAGAATTTAAAATCAAAATATCTGTATTATACAAAAGAAAACCCCAGTATCTACAACTGGCTTTAAACAAACATTTCTTTCTAAAATGATATGAACATATATTTCTAAAGCATTACCTTTAGTATAATCAACAACTGCTTCCAAAGCTGCTATCCTAATGTCCACAAAGTGGCCATATTCTGCGTAAGATTTAAAAAGAGTTGGGTCACTCGGCACATGTCCATTCTTCTGAAGCACTCGTATGGCTCTCAAACAACTAGGAAAACAGTATTTACAGTTAAATACTTTTGTTAAAGTATTCTGAATCAAACTTGTTTGATAGACATTAGAAATTAATCTGTAACACTGAATTGAAAAACTGATCTGATTTGAATCTGCCTTTTAATTCTGGAACATTAAATTTTTGCAATGATCCTAAAAATTAAAAATATCTAAATCCTATTAAAGGAAAACAAAGTTTAAAGCTTGTTTGGAAATCCAATTACAGGTATCATTATACTTAATATCTTCTCCAGAAGTTTTAGTTATATAGTTTAGTAAATAATAAATATGGGAGGTTAAACTGTTCACAGTGGTTGAAACAGTGAACTGACTATTTTAGCAAACTCCTAAAGAAATAGAACTTTTTGATAATTAAATGCAAAGAAGTTGAACGAAGCAAAAAGTCATCTTAAAAGAATCTAACAGAAGAATGCTTATATCCAATGAGATAAATATTATGCAGACATCAAAAATAATGCTTCTGAAGAATTTCTGATGACATGAGAAAGTGTTTATGATATAAGCAGAATACAAAAACTATATATACAATATATGTCCAATAATTAAAAATGTATATTGTTATAAGAGAAAAAAATTAGAAGGCCACTCTCCAAAACAGTATAGTTAATAATTTATCTGTGGATGATAGAATCATAGGATTTTAATTTTCTTCTTTAACTTTACTATAGTTCCCAGTTTTCTATAATGAAAATAAATTTCTCTTATAATTAGAAAAAAATAACACTAAAGAAAATATAAAGAGTCATCATACCTCACAGTGATGGTGTGTCTATAACTTGGAAGAAGTTTTTCCATATTCAAAAACCTGGTGATTTCTTCAAGAATGAGTCGCACATCTGGGTTTAAGTTATCTAAAGTCCGGACTTCATTATTTACGCTGACTGCAGGCGTAACAGAGTTGGCAAGGGCATCAATCATTTCTGCACGATAATAGTTATCTGAAAACTAAGCCAAAAAATAATTATATAAAAATAAAATTCACGCTTCTGTTCAAAAATTAATAAGATAAAATATTTATAACCTAAGACCGTAATTTATCTAAAAACATAAGTTGGTAAGTACACATTAGGAAAAAAGTGAAAGAGATTCACTAATTAGTAATATATTAGTTAACTCAATAAATACTTCCTACATGAAAGGTATTCTTACAGGAACCTAGCCAGATCAACCTAAAAGGAAGACAAGACCACAGTCCACAAGCCCTGCTGGTAATACAGAGCTTCAAATCAGTTATTTAGTGTTTTCCTCTCATATATAAACATATAACCAAAGATCACCAGATAGTTCAGAAAAGTAACATAAAAAAGACCAGAACAAACAAAGGGGAAAAAGCAACTTGAAGGAAATAGAGTACTCAAGGAAAAGAAAACTGACAGGTAGAAAAAATCCAAAACTATCATTAATATTGTCTGAGAAATAACCAATGAGATGGCTCCCAATAGCAAAACATTTTAAAAAGAAAGAAATATGCAGAGAATCAAGATCAAAATTAAACTGAAATATAAATTTAAAAAAAAAACTCCTGAAATTTTTGAGCAAGAAAGTGATAAAAAACAGAAAGGAAAGCACAAGGAAGTTGGAGGACTGGTATAGAAAACATAGCATAGGGATAATAGGAGTTTCTAGCAAAAACAGAGAAAATGGAGGAGGAAACCATAGAAAAAATTAATTTCTAAACTCATATCCCAGTCAATTCCCAGAGAAGTAATTTACTGAAAGGCAATCTGGGTGTGGCTTGATTTAAATTCAGGAAATGAGATACTCTAGCCTGGGGATTTGAACATGGAGCAAGTGAGTGAATTCTATCAGCAACAAACTGCCAGGGAAGAAAGAGGAATAGCTACCCCCTTTTAACTTCCATTGAGGAGGCAGAGCCTCACATCCACACACATGGCAATAGAGTCCCTAAACATCCCTATTGTCAGACACTGAGCAGGAAAAAAAAATGGCACACAACAAAAACAAACGAAACCAAAAAACTCTGCTACACAAGCGTACACTATGGAAAAAGTTTTCTTTTCAAACCATTTATAGGCTGTTTTCTTCAAGTATTTTTATAGTATCATTGTTACCTCTGGTAACTACTTTGCCAACAAAGCAAAAGCCCATTTATTTAACCACTGTTTCTAACTTAAGTATTTGGATTACAGAATGAACTCAGAAATTAAAAATGAGGAGGGGGTGTGGGTGAAATAGGAAAACCAAAAGACTTAACATTTAACCCTTAGACAACATCGAGTTCTCACAGATACTAGAATCCTATCTGGACAAGCTAGATTATCTGATAACAAGTAAGGTGAAATAACTTTTGAAGCATGGCATCCAATAGCTACTTGCTAAATAAAGACACGCAATGGTTAAAAAAAAATCAAATTCATCAATGAACAAGTTATTCCAAAAGGGAACTGTTTCTGGTTATCACTTGGTCAAACAAAAAAGGAGCAAAAAATAAAACTGGGCTGTCAGACTTCACCAAAACAAGTGTTACCTGACTCCCCTAAAATTTGATACCCTACTGTCTCCACATTACAACAGGTATGAGGAACATTTAAAAATCAAGCAATCTTGGTTTTCATCCACTAGTTATTATAATAAATCATGTTTACATGTTTCTAATGCTAGAAATTTCAAGTACCATGGACTCAACAATGACTTCACAGTCTAAATATTTCTTTAAAAACAAAATATCAGTGGGTAGTTTTATAATATTCATTAAGGTATCTTACCTTATTTTTTCTGTTGTCATTGTACTTGATTAAGTCTAAAATAAATGTTAAGACTTCTTTGGGACAAAGGTTGTGAACATCTCTCAATAGAGCCATTGCAACTGGCATAGTCTACAAAAAAAATTTTGTTTTAAGCATATAACTCAACCCTTTCATTACTATAATTCATTGAATTCAGTACATGTAGAAAAACGTACTCTGGGGCAGACACAGGTATGTGAATGGAGCCTAACCCCCACAACTCCTGCTAAGAATGTGCGTCAAACATGCTAACAAAAGAGCTGAGCAGGAAACCACAGGGAGAGCTGAGTGACTGGATGTGCTCTCTAGCCCTCGTGCCCTTGTCTTCACTTGTTAGAGGGAATATATGTCCTGTAAATGATATAAATTCAGTTCTGGGTTTTACGGTGGAAAAGGTATGGGTTTTAACATGAGAGAGACCATTGTCCAACCCCTACTCTACTACCTGTTAAGATGGGTTACTATAGCCAGGGGCTTACTAAGCACAAGCCTCACAACCTCACAACCATTCATCATAACCCTTTTCAGGATTAAGTGAAATAGTGGCTGGAGGCACACAGTTCAATCATCAGTCTGAGAAGACACTGATTCTCCAATACCACCCCATCTCAGCTTAAGGAAAAATGGTAAATTATATGAAATCCAGCCTAATATTCTCTTTCCCAGATTTTCACAGGCAACTTTTCTAAAGAGGTGGAAGCTTGACTTACGCAGTGGTGACTTCTACTAGTAAAATAAAGCTATTTAAACTCAAGGCAGAACTACAGATGAATAGACATCATAGTGCCCAGTACATAGGGAAATTTGGACTATCCCCTATCCTGATTAAAAATAATTATACATGTACGCTGAGGGGCAAAAAGGATGTGGCGGCCTCTGCTTGCTTGAAAGCTCATTAGCAATAGGACAGTCAGTGTTGTAGCAACAGTCAGTATTTATGCTGTAAGAACTGAGGAAGGGCTCTTTTCCATAGCACTATCTGTCCTATGCCTGTTCTGCCCTTTTAGGACTCAAGTTTGATTTAGGCACTAACTATCTCTCTTTTCTGCCACTAAAAGTATTACGTGAAAGGTGAACTGGTCTAAAAGTATAGATTTTCCAACATGCAGTAAGAAATACATTTACATTCCAACCTAACACACACACTTAAATGCTATGTTTACAAACTAAAATATAAAACCCAAATACCTTATACCTACCCTCATTACATATGTTGCATTATGATAGTGCCTATTAATTTCCTTTATTTAAAAAACAAATAAAAACTTTCAAATTGATTTCATGACGCCCTCACTAATGGGTCACAACTTTCATATTTCAATATGAATATGGAAGCACAGTGGCATAAAGAAGGGGACATATTGGGTAGACACAGAAATTAGCTTGCTTCCTATACCATAAATTAGTGAAATGGCAATAGAGAGCTGAGCAATATGTTTATGTATTATCAAATGTTCAGTTCTTAAAAATAAAATAACTGGATCCCACAGGCTTTTCTGGCCACACCACTACTGACTTTCCTCAAACCATCCCGAATGTGTTCTACTGATGAAATTCACTGTAAATGTATCATGACTTCCACTCTCAGCAGGTATCTTCAATGTTGCCAGGTAATCCTTTTACTTTTCCCTCTATTGTATATAAATCTCACTTTGTTTAACATCTCCCTCAACATCTATCATTTCACTTACTTTTAACCTGTTTTCCACCTGCCTCAGAAAAAAAGGCAGGCTCTTATCTTTTCTTTAATTAACCTCCCTACTGTGTCCCACCCACTACTAACACCTTCAGAAGTCACTCCATCTTTTTTATACTTACTGGCTTCCACTGAATATTTCATCTCTCCCACTCCAATGGTTCCTTTCACTGTGCCAAATACGCCTCAAAATTTTCCTCCCTCTATCCAAAACAAAACAAACCCAAAATGTCCTTTTCTCAGCCCTACTTTATCCTCAACATATCTCCTTTCTCATACTCTTCACCCCCAAACCAGGAAAGAATAGGCTTCGCTAGTTTTTTCAACTTCACTGTTCCTTCTAGTACAATCTAGTTCATCTTATCTCTGCCTTCATTACTAAATTACTCCAAAAATTATACAAATGATTTAAAATTGCCCAAATGCTGACCACCCTGCCATCCTCACATCCCTTCCTAAAACAGTGACTCCATTACACCACCACTTTCTAAATTACTGTTTATAAAAAACTTACTGTGTGATAAATATAATCTAAAACACTTCACATGCTTGATCTTATTTAATTCTAAAAAAGGCAAATTTTACAACTGAGTAAATTGAGGCTTAGAGGGTTAAAGAACTTGTCCTTGTACAAACTGCCAGTGAGTAGTCTCTGACTCAGAATGCTGTCCACTTTCTAGAAGGACTTACCTATACCTCCACCCACCATGTAACCAGCCCGAAATTCAGACTATCCATTTCTATTTATTTTAGTTTTAATGTGGATAGCAAGTTACTTTCCCACAGCTCATAAAATCAATGAGCAATCCCTTAATTAAAATTTTGGAAAAAAATTTAAAAACAAAAAAAGAACAAAGGCAAAACCTTCTAGAAGAAAGTAAACACATCTATTATTTGAATAGTCTCCAAGTTAAACTGAGATATTCAGATAGTGGCATAAAACAATCATAAGAAATTTGGAAAGTAAACTATACCTTCTGTAGAAAATAACTCTGAAAGCTCATAAAGTTGTTTGTTTTCACAATGTTGGGACAAGTTTTACAACAAAACATTCTAGTAAAGAGTGACTTCATGGCTGGTGGTCCTGTCCATGTGCTCACCATTGAATTTGCAATCTGCAAATAAAATTAGAAAACAAAGTAATTTCCATCACCACAGCAAACATATTTTTAAATAAATAAAACAGCTTTCTAAAAGTTAGCAATGCAATTGGATTAGTTTTCAACTTCAATTCTCAGAAATCTAATACATTTTAGCCTTCTATTATCATTTCTAAGAAAATATACAAAAGTATCCCTCCTAAATTCTTATGTACACTTATAATTATTTTCTACAAGTTAATTTTGAAATTGGAGTATTCTTTACATTTTAAGAAAACACGTTTGCAAGAGGCTTCCGTTATAAATAGGTTTGTGTTTTTCCATTTAGGAAGATTAATTCTAACATTTTATATTTATCAGCTATACACATCACCATGGATTTTAAAGGTTTTAAAATCTACCCTAATTGAAAAACAAACCAAGTACAATGCTACCATTTAAGTCTGCAGGGATGCTTACCAAAAAAAAATGTATCTTGCTATTGACACTTTTAGTGTATATAAAAATCATGTCTGAAAAGAAAATTATAACTAACTTTAACATAATTCTATGGATCTGCTAAGAATTTAGCATGCAAGAATCAAAAAGATCTTTATAAAAGCAATGAAACTGTATCCTTAGCAGATGATTATCAAAGAAAATAATCTTTTCCCTCATATACTTGGGTAGAGGGTAGGAATCCAACTACTCACCAGTGACCATTAAAGATAAAACAAATCTAAACCACTATAATCTGGTGAAATGTTGGACAAATGAATTTAGCAATGAGGAAGGCAAGAGAGTCACAAACTGGGAATGAACCTATCATCAAGATGCCTTTTAGATACTCAGAACCCAGTATTTCTGGCCCAATTTTTGTCTGCATTTTTCTGGTTTTCATTTATTCTACCTTCAAAGTTTTTTTGCATCTGAAGAAAAATATTTAGTTTTCCTAATAAATTACCTTTCCCAGCATGTAAAATTATAAAACCTATCATTTTAAATTACATATCACTAACACTGATTACTACACCCTAACCAACATGAAACGATCACCACAGTGGGATAGTTANCTGAAGAAAAATATTTAGTTTTCCTAATAAATTACCTTTCCCAGCATGTAAAATTATAAAACCTATCATTTTAAATTACATATCACTAACATTGATTACTACACCCTAACCAACATGAAACAATCACCACAGTGGGATAGTTAAGATGAACTGATTTCATGTACTCTAATCTCAAATGGAGGAATTTATTACACCAAATATATTCTTTCCTTAAACAATGTAGTCGACAAGTCAATACTGTGGGAGGACAATAAAAAGCTAGGGACATTCCTTGACAAGTAAAATAAGGGAAACTGAGACAAAAGTCATTAAATAAGGCCCAAACAATTTGAGCAATTTATGCCAGTTAATGAATCACAAGGTAAGACTCTCCCCTGAGACCTCCCAGCCAGTCATAGAAAGATAAAAAGCCTCAAGACAAAGGGCCCATGGCAAGCTCTGGCTAGAGCACACCCATGCCTCGTATCTCTGCTCTCTTTCTCCTAAACTCTTCCCCATGAGACTTGCAACCAGGGGAGCAGAGGGCAGCGGCAGCTCATCCCAGGCTTACCCCCAAAACCTGTCCCCAAAGCCAGCCTTTTTCTCTAATTTTTCAGTGAGCTAACAGCAGCCCCACCTTGGTTCACTTCTTTTACTGCGACTTTTATTTCTCAGTGAGTCAAAGCAGCCCCACTCAGGCTCTCTCTTGTTGCTTCTTCTCCCTTAAGCCCTTCCTTTGTTTCACTGTCCCCAGCTTAATAAACATACCCTCAAATCACCTGGACTTATTATGAAATCTTTCCCGCATGAAGTCAAGAACCCACACACTATTGGCCGGCCCGAGGCAGACCTGCTCTGGGTCCAGACCCCGTCTGGTAACAATACAATGGTAAAAACTTCTCTTTGGTTTTAAAATCTTTCAGTTTGACAATCATAAAATTTTAGTACGTTACCAATTTTCAGGTCAAAACATGTTTCTTTCAAATCAGTCTTGCTAAAATATTTTAGCAAAAGCTTTCAAGGGAGCCCTGGCTGGGTGGCTCAGTTGGTTGGAGTGTCATCCCATACACCAAAAGGTTGCAGGTTCGATTCCTGGTCAGGGCACATACCTAGGCTGTGGGTTCAATCCTGGGCGGGGTATGTATGGGAGGCAAATGATCAATGTTCCTCTCCCACATCAATGTTTCTCTCTCTTTTGCTCCCTTCCTCTATCTCTAAGATCAATTAAAAAAATATATATCCGTTGGTGAGGATCAAAAAAACAGAAGAAAAAAAAAAAGAAAAGAGAAAAAAAAGCTTTCAAGGGACCAGCTACCAAGTAAAATGGAAGACTATGGTGAATTCTAATTTGTTTTTAATTCATTTGCAGAGTTCTGTTTTTTTTAAATATGCAGTACTCGATCTCAATCTTGTATTCTTTCTACTGTATGCAATCTCACCTTTGCAAGGCAGAAGCAAGCTGACATTCTTACTCGGTAGAAGCACTGTTCTTGCTCTAATATGTCAGTGAGGGCAAGTCTCGACGCTGGAGTGGGAAACTTTTCCAAGGCTAAGATGGACTCTTGCTGTGCAACAACATCCCTCTCATAGCGGAGCTGGTACTGCCACATGAAATCGGCCTGTTCAAACTCTACTTTCCTCAGCACTGACATGTCAGGGTCTATCCTGATCCACAGCAAAGGGGAATCAGCACTGAAAGAAAGGAAAAATTTTCCTTTTTATTTGTTTCTTCAATTCTACATATTCACAAAATAAAACCAAAGCATTTATTAATCAGATTCTCCTCTACATACAGTATTCAAGGATGCCTGGAGTTTTACGTATTCATTTTTTTTAAATCCCACTGACAACTTTTTCATAATGTTTAATATATTTCAACTTCAACACAATTTCCATCTATATCAATCTTGCTGAAAAGATCTCCAAGGATAGTAAGATAGTTGTCACAAAGAAATTCCATCGGAAACTATGAATTTGGGACTCTGATTTGTGATTACATGATGTGAAAGGGGAAATGAGAACAAGTTCCTTCATGTCACTTCCCGTAGTCAAGTAATTGGAAATCAGTCTGTGACTAAGAAATTAATTATTCTGATAAATTAATTTGTTTAACTGACTTTTAATACTTTATTTTTTAAATTCTAGACTCATCATCACCTCTTTCAAACAGCAAGTTCTGAGATCATAGTTCGAAGGCATATCACAAATTTACTCTCATGTACTTCTTAAAGTAACAAGCACATTTTAAACAATCTAATCTATGTAAACACTTCTATCAAAGGAACACCACCAGAAATATTAATTCAATTCATCCAATATCACTGAGTGCTTAGTATAGCCAAGGCATGTGATATGGAAAAATTATAAAAATGGTATATAAACACTGGTTGATATTTGGCAACCAAGTTAGTAAATAACTACAGATGTTTTATAAAAAATATACAGGAACAACACAAATGAACAAAAAATCTGAGTTATATTTAAAAATAAAACTGTCAATAAATATTACCACATAAAACTTTAAAATAATGATATTTAAATTGTGTTTTGCAAATATAGGGAGCCTTAAAGTACCCTGAAGCCTTGTCCAAAGACAAAGGGAATCAATATCACCTGAGAACTCATTAAGAATGCAAACTATCAGGACCCACCAACAGTGCTGAATTAGAAACTGCACTTTCAGAAGATCCCCAAGTGACTGACATGCATGTTACAGCTTGAGAAGCACTGGTCTAAAGGCCAGCAGGGGAGCACGAAAGCTGCCCAAGCCAAGACTGTGCTCACCTCACTGCCACCATATATTTCCTCTTAATGTCCCCGGGCCAGGCTAGATTTACCTTTTCCTCTCTGATTATCTTTTAATTTTATTTTTTAACTTATAGGAGTTACACTGGTTAACAACACTATATAAGCTTCAGGTGCACAACTTTACCACACAGTACCTGTACACTGTACTGTGCACTCACCACCCAGTCTAGTCTCCTTCCGTCACCATGTATTTGACCCCTTGACCCTCTTCAGCCTCCCCCACCCCTCTCCCCTCTGGTAACCACCACATAGTTGTTTGTATCCCTGAGTTTGTTTGTTTTGTTTGTTCATTTGTTGCTTTTTGTTTTATATCCCATATGAGTGAAATCGTATGATTCTTGTCCTTCCTGACTTATTTCACTTAGCATGACACTCTCAAGGTCCATCCATGGTTATCACAAATGGCAGTATTTCTCATCATTTTTATGGCTAAGTAGTACCTAGCTGTATATGACTATGTAAGATTAGTTTTTAGCATAAGGTTCCATTGCCTTTCAAAAGTTTTAAAAGTACTAATTTCAGGACATTTATATACTTTAAGATTTACAAAACAGGACAAATGAGAATGCAGAAAACATTATGTCCTTAAACTAAAGTAACTTACTCCATTGCAGAAAGATCCATATCAACTTCCTCTCCATTCATCAGTGGAATTTTTTTCTTCTTATTCCTACATTTAAGAAAAAAGAAGTTTGAAATTATGACATTCCATTTCTGAAAGGAGATAAAGAGCAGCCAAAATTCAAGTTAAGGATTTCACGCAACATTTGAAAGATATCCTAAGGAAGAAGAAATAGTAAATGTAATAGAATTTAACCACAACAAAACCTGTTTTGAAGCTGAAGGAATGAAACAAATGATACTGAAATGTCATTGCAATCACAGTTTAACAAAAAAAATATATATATAATTAAATGTCAACTTTAAACATATTCCCAAGAACTGGTAAGCTACAGTTTTATATAGAAAAGATAAGAGAGCTATCAATAAAGAAATCCTTTATAAAAAAAGAAAATATAACCAGGCTTGAAATGAGACATGAATCATTCTGAACATGTGTTGTATGTGCCAGCTATTGTCCTGTACAAAATGAGGTGGTTAAATATAACACATCTTAACACCACTAATCAATGTACAATTAATATATATAGATTTAAGATAAACAAAAGCAAGTGCTTCCATGCAAATTACTCTTGAATCATAAAATCTACTGGATAATACATTAATAACTTGGATGAGACAAATAAAACAGGAACAGAGAACAGTCTTCCTGTGTTCCTCACACCAAAGAATACCAGATGACATACTGCTAATATAGAGGGGGAAAAACTGAGGAAATGCTAGAGGGAGGGTAGCAATCAGGTATTCCCAATGTCAAAGGTAGAAAGGATAAAAAGAAGGGAGGGATTTCACTCTGAACTAAGAAAGCATTTTCACAGAGAAAGAGTGATTACAGGGAGATTCCAGAGTCAAGTTCCCTGAATGCTGTCAAAATCAACCGACATTCTCATGTGTGATGACCTAAATGTAGTCACGAGTAGAGACTTCTGTTCCTGAAATTCTGGTATTACTACACATTACTCCAGCAAACCAAAAAGTATTCTCATCTTTCACTACTCAGAGTACTTTCTAATGTCTGAGTTTTTAAAAAGTAATAAAGAAAACTATATTAAATAAAAGATGAACAGTTGGACATTTTCTATGTAAATGGCTTTATGCCTTTGGAAGACAGGAATGTTCTGTAAGGGCATGGTGATACAGGGACAAGACACATAGTGTAGAAGATGCAGGGGCTTTAATGACATATGTATTCAGCTCCTTCCTTTATATCCAATGATCATTTCCCCAATACTTCCTGTACATATTCGTCCAATAAGACTAATAAGAATAAAACTAAGCAATTTGCCTTGAATTTTCCTAGCTCTCAAAACTCAAACTTCAATTCCATCTCCTCCTGCCCCTACAAAATAAAGATTCTCAAACCTAAATTGTAAAGTTAATTATTTAATTCTAAGGATAAAAATGTTGTCAAAAACACAAAGCAAATAAAGGATGTTTGGTAATAACCTGAAGCAAAATGAGGGGGAAAAAAGATACTAGATAACATGTTCTCTACCTAAAAAATTAGGTGTACATTACAATTTTTATTTTGGCATTTTAATCTGTGAGACTTACAATTTAACTATAAACTTCAATTTATAATTATGATTCAATGCCTACCTTCTGCTTTTGGAATGGCAGGGTATATCATGTTTAAGGCTGTTTTCTTCAATTTGCAATGTGTGATTGAAGGATCCATCTAACTCCTGCACTGTCACTTTAAGTGGTCCCTTTAAAAAGAAGCATACGGTTCATAGGTAGTGCTAGAAAAATACCAATATGTATTCTTACGGGCACAGGCATATATATCAATATATAAAATAATACTATACAAGATGTGTATCTAGAGTCAGAGAAAGGCAATTGGTGCCAAAGGAGGGGAGAACTGGAAGAATCTGTATCCCCTGAAATCTCCATCTGTAACCTGCCTTCCCTTCAGCAACATTTGGTATTTGCTCAATATCATTCTTTGCAAACAAAATCTCATTATGAAACTTCTAACTAGATCCCCACCCATAAGCCCTTCCTATACTGTAATTGGGGAGGAAGTAATGCAAAAGACCATTTTGGAAAAAATACTTACCACATATTTCTGAGTTCCAGGAGATGTATAATCTTGTTTTATTTCCAATTCCAAGACATTTCGTTTTCTATTAAATGCAAAACTTCCATAAAATTTTACCACTCCACTCTGGTCTCTGAAGAACTATAAAGGATTTTTTGCATACTGAAATGAGTATGTACTAAACAAATTATTCACTTGGTAGTAATAATTTTCGAATGCATTACCACCAGTTCAAAGCTTGAAAGCATACTTCATTGTAAAGCAGGTGGCAAAGTATTCAAAATCCTTGTGAAAAATGTTTCCCCAGATTTGAACAGAATTTCTGAAATATTAAGAAATTTTTGTTTTGAAAGAAGTAAAACCACTCTACTGGGTTGTTAATATAGTGAAATGAGAAAATGTAAACACTAAAAAGTTCCAAGATATCAATCAAGTTGTGCCAACCTCTAACCACATCTACAAGTCACCAGACCACTGGATATTACGAGTAATCCTACAGGCCTGTCTGGTGAATTATTTATCTCCCTACCATCAAGCCTATTGCTGTACTCACACTGAAAACTACTGCAAAATATTCCAAACTTTACAAATAGTATAGATGTGTGTGTGTGTGTGTGTGTGTGTGTGTGAGTGAGAGTGAGAGAGAGAGAGAGAGAGAGAGAGATCTCAATTATTAGTAAACACCTTACAGGAAATGATTTACAGTTCCTGGTTATTTTTACTATTATTTAGAAATAGAAATAGTTCTTATTTCCTTTCATCCCCCAAATCCCTCGTCTACCTCTCTCCCCTTACACATATAATCTTACTCCCACCCCCAACCCCCTGTTGAATTGCTATTTAAAAGGATACACCCACTGCTTTATTAACGGCTGAATGTCTTTGCCAGAGACATTAGAGATGGATTTCAAAAACCCAGATGTGGAAACCAACATTTGACTCCACATATGTGACTGGAACTTCTGAGATGAAGCAGTACTAGCCAAACTTAGCAGTTTATTGAAAACCTGTAAGGATGAAAGTGTCATTTAGTAACTTTGTAACCTTTAGTAACATAATACGCATTGCTTTCAATTCTCTATTAAACCACTTTGATTGTAAAGTTTGATAACTTTATTATACAAAATTATAGAAGACAATAATTACACATCTTACTATATAGAGTGTTCTAGTTAAAGACAGAAGCATGCACAGAATTAAATAGCCAGAATAAAATCCATTCTTCCTCTAAATATAATCGAATTTTAATAATGTCTTGGCCCAACATTAAATACTGTTTTTAAGAATTGTAATAAGAATAACATATAACACCCATAATTTATTATGCTATGAGCTTTACGTAGAAACTAAACATTATTTAAGAAGTTGAGAACACCCAATAGGATTTATAGCACTCCAAAAAGCTAACTGGCTCTTGATGGACCACCTCTCATTTAATATTTCTGTTCTTTAAAGGCAAGGTGAAGGATAGAGGATTAACTTAATTTTAGGGCAAATTTTAAATTTTTTAAAAAAAGATTACTAAAAAGTTCTTTTTTTGCTTACCTCTAAGAATGTTAGAGGGGGAAAAATTAATGGGAAAAAAAACCAGCTGAACATTTCTACTATATCTGGTTTCTACTATCTCAACAATTTACACCAGAACTTACCTACAATACATGGCAGAATTTAGCAAAAACAAATATAAACATATTTTAGTTAGGTTTGCCTTTTGCTACTGAAAACATTTCTAAATGGCAATTCATCCTTAATATTCTAAATAATGCTGAACACAAAATTGTATGCATAAGTTAGGTTTTACTTTCATCCTCACGTTCTAATTTTATCTTCACAATAATCCTGCACTAAGTGTGTCAAGTACTGATACCCATTCAGTATCTGAGGAAAGACAAACAAAAAGCATAGGTCTAAGTGGGCTAACAGCTAATGACTAATGGAATTCTACATTTTAAACCAAGATACCCTGACCCTATTTACAGAATAGTATTCAGATTATACACATACAGATAGATCTTTCTTTATAATTGTTCAGTTCTTAACTTTAATACTTACTTGCAGCATAAATTCCATACTGATCCTATTTTCAATCAATCTCATCACAAGGTGAGCTTTACACTGGAACATAGTATAGTACTCCCAGGAGAGTGTATGGGGATGTTTTATTGAAAAGTGTAGATGGGATGCTGGACTAAACAAATAAACAGATTTACTTAACATGACACATTTAAATACTAAGTAAACAGTATATTTCATGGCCACATCAAGACAATAAATCAAGAACTTCATAGGAATACCTTAGCAATTTCCTTAGTATGAAAGCAACAAAGACTAGGAAACATACACACACAAAAAAAATCAAGATGAACTACGTGTCTAAAACAAAAACAAGTATTACAAGAAAATAAAGGAAAAAATTTATTTCCATAATTTAGGGGTGGGGAAAATCTTCCAAAAGAAAAATCTAGACATTAAGACCAGACTGACTATATAAAAATTTAAGAGATCAGCAGTAAATTAAAAGATACAGTCTAGTACAATAACTGAATTACATTTTATAAATGTGATATACACATAAATAAAGGCACAAAAAAAGGTCCATATACTGAAAGACAATATACAAATTTATAATCGTGGCTGATTCCAAGGAGAGGTTTTGGTAGGAGTGAGGGGTGGCAAAAAGGGGCTAAAAAGGATGTTTTATGTTTTACTCCATATGCTTCTAAACTGTCCTGTTTTCTATTTCTTAAAAGAGCATGTATTCATGTGCTGCTTTTATATATAAATTTTAAAAATTAAACATACAAGAACTAAATAAATGGGCAGAACCAAGCTATTTTCACACGATGGGAATGCTCTAAGTATATGCTGGGAAACTGCCATATAACAGGCAGCCCGGAGAAGAAAGTGAAAGAATTAATGAGTGAGTACGTACTATGTATGAAGATTTGTCTCAAATAATCTCACAACCAACCTGGTTAAGATGGATCATGAATCATCACTGTCAGTTTACACATTAAAACACATACACACTCTCTCTGAAACATTATGCAATTTTCTTAAATGACCAAAATTAATAATGATAAAGAATCCAATTGTCTAACTCCAAATTCCTATGTTTTTCCACTGGCTTAATCTTATCTCAGTGACCACAACAAAAAAGGGCTCCTGGTTATACAATTTCAAGTATCTTAACCTTTGTTGTGCTTTTATCTTTTTAAATATGTCTTTTTATTGATTTCAGAGAGAGAGAGAAACATCAATGATGAGAGTCACTGATCGGCTGCCTCCTGCACGCCCCCCACTGGAGATTGAGCCCGAAATCCAGGCATGTGTCCTGACCGGGAATCGAACCTCGATCTCCCAGATCCTAGGTTGACGCTCAACCACTGAGCCACGCCCGGCGGGGCTGTTGTGCTTTTAGACACTTGGGCAGTCTGGTTAATTTTATAGACCCCATATGAGAAACTAGTTTAAAATGCACAAAATGAAATTTACAGAATTACAAAGAAAACCAATTATAATGAAATGCAGTTATGAAAATATTTAAAAAATTCTGATACACCAATATATGTGCGAGTTTTTCAGTGCATTAAATAAGACCTAGCAGCGGGCCACTGCAGGAATTCTGAGGAAGTTACAAGTACAAAGAATGTTTCAAATATCTACTAGCAATTATGTAACAGCAAAGTATCCGTTACATCGACTGCAGACAAAGTCACAACACTGTCTGCATTCATAATTAAAGAAAATGTAAAATTTCTCTTTATAGTTAGTGAAAATATTAAAAACTTCCCATTCAATTCAATCCACATTCCCTTTGGGAATCCGTGGACCCTAGAACAAGTAAGGATCCCTGACAGCACCCTTATTTTGCTGTATGTGGCTTCTCCTTTACAGTACTTGCTAAAAGACAGTAAGGGAGAAAGAGAAAGAAGGGAAGGAAGGTGAGAGGACATAAAAACAAAAGAGTAAATAAGAATCTAGATAGGCAAAGATTTAAATAAATAGGTACAGGTAGGATGTCTTGATACTGAAATTATTCACTCAGACTTAAAATAATTATCAGTTTCCATTAAATTTTTAAACTTTTATGAGAACAGTATGCTATAGTAGCATTAGAAAATTAAAATGGAAAAAAGAAAAGCATATTTTTTTAAGTTCTTTAAAAGTTTAAATCCACTTATAGCTATCACATGCAATAAAAACAGTAATGAAAGGAGTAATGAGAAGATTACCAGGGTTTGGGCCTCAATATTATTACCTACTATTATTACTACCTCTTTGGTCTGTGTGGGCCTCAACACACATACAAATGATCCTACAAGAGTGATCCCATAGAACAAGGTTTATAATATCATTTCTGAACAATAAACATACTTATCCTTCTCTTTTCCTCCACCAAATATGGGATGTAGTAAAACTCCACCAGTTTTCAGTTCATATGCCACTATTCTATCCAGCTCCTAAAAAAGATATAAAAAAGGAGTCAGTGAAAACTTTTTTACATATAAGTTTAAAACTGACCTGTGACTTCTCATTTCCTGGAATTAGAATGTAAATTTCTTAAACAAACTAAATGTATTTGGAGAGTAATTTATGTTCTTACAAACAAAGCAGACTACACAGATGGCTGAGTGACAGAGCCTACAAGCCTTGCCTACTTTGTGACTTCAGGGCTGACAATGGCTCTTCCCAACCTCTCTAACTGGTTTTCCAAGTTTATTTCTTCCTTCTCTGTATTTTGCTTTGATGGAGAATTTAGACAATAAAGAAGAAATGGGAATAAAATTATGTCAGGAATCAACATTTTAAAACCCTTCTCCAATATGATACACATCAAAGTTAAAAAAAAAGCTTAAGTGAAAAAAGGATGCCCAGCCAGGAGTGGCTCAACAGCTGAGCATCGGCCTAGGATCCAGATCACAGTTTGATTCCCAGTCAGGGACGTGAGGAGGCAGCCGATCAATGACTCTCTCATCATTGATGTTTCTCTCTCTCTCTCTCCCCCTCTCCCTTCCTCTCTCTAAAATCAATAAAAATATATTAAAAAAAAAAAAAGGAAACACAACTGTGCTAGAAAAATCATGACTAGTTTAAATAGTATACACACAGAATAGAGAAGTGGTAAAAATCATAGTGAAGTGGTTGAAAGCCAGGTCTAAATCCTGGCTCTACTACTTACTAGCTGTGCAACTTTGACCAAATAACTTAACCTCTCTGTGCCTCACTTTCCTCATCTGTAAAATGGGGATAATAACAGAGTACTTAGGAAAATTAAGATGGTTAACATTTATAAAATGTTTATAACAGTGCCCAGAACATGGTAAGTGCTGTACATCACTTCCCTGCATTAATAGTTTTTGAAATAAAGAATGGACTCTTCAGTTCTAGTTGCAGGAATTCTTTTATAGTTCTAAATGTTTGAAATCTTTTACCTTTTGGCTTATTCAAGTTTAGGTTTGGATGATGAAGATAAAATTAGAAAAGGGCAAAAATGCAGGGGTCTATTTAATAAGGATTTTAAAGGCTAAACGCTTTCCACCTTAGAAGAAAGAAGCTAAGCATGATTGAAATGCATAGGTACATGAATGGGCTAGGCAAAATACAGTTGATTTTTGTCTTTTGGGCCAAATCTTTATAGGAAAAAGACTAAGAATAACAGGAGCATAAATGCACTGAAGGGCTATCCAGCATACAATAAGCACTTACTATGTACAAGGCACCATGCATATTACATGTGTGATGTCTCATAATCCTCGACCATGGGGTAGATACTAATCCTACTCTCCTTACCCAGATGAGGCATGGAAAGACTAACCAAAGTAATAAAGCTTGTAAAGATATGAGGCAGACTGAAAAGCAATCTCACTCCAAAACCTGGACAGTAAGTCTAAACAAATTTAGGAAGCAGAGAGATACATTAAAATAACGACTATGAGAAGCTGGAATATATCTAATGACTAACTTGATGTTTAAGGAGCTTAAGTATTCTTCCTTAGCAAAAAATGTCTTCAGAGGCCAACACTGACAATGGAAATGGGATAAAATAGACCATTAGTCTTTCTCAGTATAGTGATTCTCAGTTTTTTGGAAAAAAATTAGACTTTCAAATAACAGTAAGTATTTTACAATTGTTAAAAATAAAGGAAATGCAATTTTGAAACCAGGAGAACACTAACATATCTTATTGACTTCTAAGTGAATAATGGACCTAGTTATTTTTACCTCTTTAATCCAATGGCGGTATTCATTAACACCAAAAGTTTTTTTCATCCAAAGTCCATAAATATAGCCTGAAATTCCCTTCAGTACCCATTCATCAGACCTAAGCAGAAAGTAAAAATGTGAACTTTTAATCATAAAAATTCTTAAGATAAGATGGAAGATAACAGGTATAGTGTGTACTTCTGTTCCTTAAAGAAAATAAAAGCTATTAACAAATTATTTGGTTTTCCCACTTCTTCTAGCTGAGTTCTGCTTGTTCATTCCTAGTGCCTTCTGTACATCACCTTTAACTGTAGGACCGCTGCACAGTCTTAGTTCAAGTACAATGTGCCTGTGTTTGTGTTCTGCTCCAGCAGTGCTGCTTCCCTCTCACCCAGCTCTGTCCACACAGTCAGCTTCTAAAAAATCCCTGCCTGTAATCAGAACTGTACTGCTGAATTCTTTTTATTTTTTTAATCCTCACCTGAGGATATTTTTTCATTGCTATTCAGAGAATGGAAGGGGGGGGAAGAGGGG